GCTGGAAAAAAAGCTAACAAAAACACTGTTATGTTGCAACAACGAATGAGAAATGTGCTGCCAACTATTGCTACTAACAAACAACCACAACAAATACAACTACAATATAAGTAAATATATAAATATGCTATATATATATATGTGTACTGGTGAGCCAGCAAAAACGAATTTTGGCCGAATTTAAAGTAAATTTAAGGCGTGTTTCTAGGCTAGCGCCGCCGCCGTCACCAGAAACCTGCCAATAAATGCCAATTAACCTAGAAAACAAAAGTGTGGTGAGCGGGCAGATTGTTACCTGAAAATAATGAGTACGAAAATTTGGTAAAAGGAAATACAAAATCTCAGCCCCAAAAAAAAAAATTAAATAAAATAACAAAAGTAAATAACGAAAAAAATTCTTGAAATTTAAATATTTTAATTATCATTTAATGCGCTTCTCTTTAGCAAACAAACAGCCTACTTAAAAAAGGTGTGAACGAAAAATTGAATTTTTGAAAAAACCAATATTTCAAAGCAATTGCCACACTTCGGCACATTCGACCACGCGCAAATAAATTTGAAAACTAATTAAATGTAATTGACAAGCGCCGATTCGACAGATTTGTAAAAAACGGTCGCGCTGGCTTCAAAAGGTTAGCATTCACACACAAGCACACACACATACATCGGTTAGTGCAACAAACAAATCGCCAATTGGCGGTGGCACATGCAGTGGCTGTGCTTTTTGCGGCTTGTCAATCGCGCAACACTTGTCACCTTGCAGTTGCTGCCACAGCAGGCTGCTTGCCATCTCGTTCGTATTTGTATTTGTTGTGCATTCATATATCTTGCCCAACCTTTGACCACACGCTGATTTGTCTAGTCGCATTTGTCGTTCAATATTTCACACTTCTAGGCTGCAGCTCTTTAGCCAATTTTTTTTTTTTTTTGGTTTTCTGAATTCATGAAAAAGTTAGTATATGTTTGTAGACAAATTTTTAGGTTATGGCGATTTGTATTTGTGAAATAGAAAAACTACAAATGGCTTCGTACAAAATGGTGCAAAGAAACAAAGAAATAATTGCCTATCTCTGATAAAGTTTGTACTTCGGAGCCGCTTATCGCTATTTTTGTCGCAGCCTCCTCCATGCACCATAGAATCAATTTTCAGTGTGGCTTTTCTCTTCGTCAAATATTTAAATAGTCCCTATTAGGAACTTGTTAAATACTCTCAGAACAGAAACTTTTTTAAACCAACGCAAAATATCTTCGTAAAATATTTTGAAGGGATCTTCTTGTTCAGGTATTACTATCGTATTTTGAGAGTCAGCACAGTCCCAAGGATCGAGTTTATAGTGAAATTACTTAAAATTTTGAGACCGTTGATATTATCGCGGTTGATGCTGGTTACAAGCCAGAAAAAAGTTCATACAGCGTTAGAGTTATGACTTTCAACAGCTATATAGAACCAAATAAATCTAGTCATCACACAAAAATAAATTCATTAAATTAGGCCACCAATGCCACTGGATGATTATGTATAATGAAGAATACTTCTGCGAAACTTAGAAATTTTTCGGTTTGCGGAATGAAACTTAGTTGATTTTCCCCCCAAAAACGCCTATAAACCATTTACAAACCGCACGCAGTTACTAAAATTTGCCGCTAAATTGTTTAAACTCTTTATTTTGGCAGCGCAAAATGCACCAATTTCCGATTACGTATTTTCGCGACACCACTTGCATTATTTGTTTGCTTTAATTTTGTACTCGATATTCGTTTTGTGCTTGCTATGGCTAAGCAAAGTCTAGGAAGGCGATGATTCATCGCGGTGAGCTTTTTTGCGCGCATGCGCATGTGGCAAGTTGTGAGTGTGGCGCAAGTTGCACGCGGCGACCGGCTAAAACGCTTACCGTATTACATACATATGTACCGTAATACAGATATATGTACAGCAAGTCTTACATATGTACGCGCACATGCTGTACAACGCGGAGCCGCGCTCGCTTTTCAGCACCCACCCGCGCGCGCCACCTCAACGCCAATTTGCTGCCGCCGCTGCCAAAGTTGTTTATTAATACGCTACTACTGGTGTTGTTGTTGTCGTTGTTATTGTTGCTATTACGTGCAACCGGCTTGCAGTCGCTTGTTATTGTTGTTGCCACAACTGCCACTATCGGCGTTTAAATATTGTTTTGGCTGTCTGCTTGCCGCTTTGCTTTGCATTCGTTTGGTGTGCAAATCTTGCAGCTGCACTGCCGAAACAATGTCGCACACCGCGCAGCCGCACGTCTGTCTGTCGCTCAGGTCTGTTCATCGGTTGTGCCTCGTTTGTGTCGCTTGCCGCATGTGTGTGAGTGTGCGTGTGTGTGTGCGCGCGCTTTTGCTTTCAGGTTTGTGATTTCTGTTTACTCGTTTTTTGTTGTTATTGTGTTTTTAGCATGTTTCGGCATATTGTCTGCCGCCGGCACACGAGTCGTCGATAAATCCAACGACAATAATAATAACAACCGTGCGATATGCTCCAACCACAAATGCGATATACTAAATAATAATAATGATTATTCTTGCAATTAATTTCGATTAAAAACATAGTCAACATAGGTAGATAGTCTTTGAGAATTGTGTTGATTGCTTTTAGCGCAATATATCTATTTTTATTTAAGCAGCACAAAGCAGACACCCGTATTACAAGCCGCGGTAAGCTTATGCTTCAGCTTGAGCAACGGTACGTTGGTAAGTCTGTAATGAATTGAGCGTTGATAATTCTACTGTTGTAATGATGATGAAACAATGCGGATTTTGTGAGTAAAGATATATTTGAGTACTGAATGCTTCAAAATTTAATAGCTTGTTTAGACTTAGAATAAGCTTTCTTGGTACTTCAACTAATCAGCAGTTTTCTGGCCCTTATATTTTAAAAATAGTACTACTTCATATATTGCCTGCTAGTTAGTCCTTTAAATTGCATATTTTAGGGGAAAGCTACTGCCTTCTTTGTTCATATCATATTGGTGAAAATGCGTCAAAGTACTTATCTCAACCTAATTTTTTTCAAATCTTGAAATCTTAAAATATTTTTTACATAATTTCCAACAAATTGACTCTGCTAATCTGTCATTAAGAAATCATCTTCGTAACAAGTTATTTTATATAATTTTTTTTATAAAAAAATCGGCTGAAATCAAGTAATTTTAGCAAAATTGAATAGATATTGTGTTTCGCCTGATGTGCTTCATTCTGTGAGTGTGTGACTTGCCCAGGCAAAATATTATATTATAAAAAAAATATATTTTAACACAAATAAAACCTCTGAGTGTGTATTGATATTAAAAGTCTCATATCCTCTTCTAAAATTCACTAGTCGTTTTTAGGTTGATTAAAAAGAGATATAATCTACTTTTTTCCTAAAAACTGCGAATCTCAGCAATGATAAGAAGCCCAGTAATTATGTGAAGGCAAGAAAATTTTGTCTACAGACGGTTGAATCATTTGTTTCAATATATGCTCTGATCTCTTTTTCACAAATTTAACACAAATTTTTCACAAATTAACGTCAACACACAGTTCTCCCGTTGATTTCTCCTCCTTATAAAATAAATCGGCATTAAAAATTTCAAAAAGAATTTATCAGCTCACAGACAGAATAAGAGAAAGTTGGAGAGAGAAAGATCTTAACAGCGTGAAAGGCTATAAATTTTCGCATCCATACCCTGATCGGCCAAACTAGAAGAAGCATAGTACACAGATAAGCATTTCAAAGGTATTATTGCGATAAACCAAATCGTTCCATACTACGCTTTCAAGTGTTCGAATTCAAGAATATGTATGGCTCAAAATTGCATACCCTGAAAAAGGTATATTAGGTTTACCACGAGGTTTGTAACACCCAGAGACCCTATAAAATGTATATAACTATAAATGATCAGCGTGACGAGAAGAATCGATTTAGCCATGTCCGTTTCTATGTCCGTCTGTCTGTCTGTATATACGCGAAATAGTCCAACAGTTTTTGAGATATAGATCTGAAATTTCGCCCTCGTCCTTGCTTTCATCTCCATAATTTATCACATATTATAATCCAAGACAGTGTAATAAATTTCAATTTTTCAAATCAGACAACTGAAACATGTACATATGTAGCTGACATACAAACCGACCGAACAAACTCAATTTCTTGTATAGAAACTTTTTTTTTAAGAAGGGTATTCTAGCTACGGTGCAACCAAAATTAACATCTTTTCTTGTTTTAATTTTCATTAGTCATATAAGATTAAGTTAAGTTACATTTCGATGTATGTTATTGATGTTGAAAGAGCCGCCAAAGGGGTAAAGTGAAATATGGTTTTTGGTATGAGAGATTAAGTTCAAACTCAGTTAGAATATGTCTCTATTAAAAATGCTCATATAACTTTTTTTCTTTCTTTATTAAATGATTATATAATTATTTGTCATAGATATTTTATATGTATACAGTATATATATTATTGATTATTTTGGATAGCATCTTGCTAAGGCGAGATTTACAGCATTTAATTAAGTCTATAGTACTTTGAAGGCGTGAAGTAACTTTTCTTTTGAAATTTACATTACATATACATACATTTAGATAAATCTATGTTTTAATGAGATACTATATAAGTTATTATTATTATTATTTTTCTTTTGATATGTAACTATAAATAATATGTTGAGTAACATAAAAATACATTTTTATGAGAACATTATAATACAAGGTATATACGGTTTTATATTATCAAATGTGGTTGTATATAAAAGTAGTGTAGATATAACAACAAATAAATTATAAATAACAACAACAAACAAGAGATGTCATATTCAGTAAAATTAAATTCATTTGAAATGCTGTTATTATCAATATTAAAATAGTAAATGGACTTTTTATATTTTTTTAGCACTTCTATGAAAATTTATTTTCACTAATAGGACGAAAATAACTTCTTTTATTTTTTTATTTAACGCTCAATATTTTTTATTTCTAAATTTAATTTTTTTTTTGTACCTGTATTCGAAACTCAAATATTTTTTCCAATATTTTAAGCTAATTTAACTGCTAATTTTTTGCTTTTTAGCTCTTTAAATTGCTTTCTGAATTTATGCTAATAATTTTGAATTCATTTTACTAACTTCCATTGCTTTTCTAAGCTTCGGACTTGCTAATATGACACCAATGAATTCACTGTTTGATCATTTGTCCGTTTTATCATAAATACTAGTATATATGTGAAGCTCTAATACCCATATTTATAGAATAAAAAAAGGAAAAAATTAAAATAAATATTTATATACTAATATATTAGATATAAGATCTAAAATACATCTAAGTGACTGACTAGACAACTGTCTGAAATAACACCCGTTTTTTAAGCGAGCGATTTTAGTTGCCTTAAAATATAATAATTTATTTAAATAAAAATTAAGGTAAAAACAATTAAATTAGTGTGGAAAAAATAAATAAAATAGTTACATAAAATTTTTTTTTATATTGTAAGTTAACTAATCAAATAAATTATGTTAATATAGATATTTTTATTATTTTTGGTAAAAAATATTTTTGGCTGCATTTATAAATTTTTATTTTGGAAAGTATTATAATATTATAGTTTCATATGTGTTCCAATAAATACAATAATTACGATTATAAATACCGCTAGATGTCGCGAATGTGTTTCGATGTCGTTTAAATGCTATATAAATATATGCAATAAATAAATTATGGTGATAAATAAATATACAAATAAATTAATTAAACTATTTTATTTAGTAAAATAAATATTTTTTAAATAAGTTATAATATTAGAAATAAATAAATAAATACCTACCTACACTAGCATGCGATCGTGTCATACCCTACCGCTAATTTTTGGCACTGTTGCAATTTTTTTGGTATTCCCCACAAACTTAAATACTAATTCCTGAGTTCCTAACCTGCTTGAAATCTTAAAAACTAGCTTAAAAACTAAAAACTAAATTATGAGTATCCTTTTTCAATACTTAAATAGACTTTTCGGCTACACGAACCTATAACAAGACAACACCACTCAGTATTCACCGGCTTGCGCCGCCATTAGCGCCATTGGTTGCTGTTGTTGAGGTTGCGCGGACTGAATCGGTGGCGGTGGCGTCGTGCCGCTGTAACGCATTTCCTCCAACTCTTCCTGATCATCACCACTGCTACCCAAACTGTCGGCGTAATAGTAAGCGGAAGGCTGCTGGCGTTCGGCTGGCATATTCTCATCATTGTAGGCGCCTTGTTGCAGCCGTTGCATATGCTGTTGCAGCTGCTGCTGGCTGAAGCCACCCTCACCGATGTGCCCAGCTGATGCAGCCGACGCGGCGTATGCTGTCAAATTTTCGGTGGACGACGTTGGCGATGCTGAGTGCGGCGATTGCTGGCAGCCACCCTGCAAGTGCTTACCCAATAGGGAGATGCGCGAGAATGACTTCGTACACGAAGGGCATGAATACTTCTTCACATCCGAATGGGTTTGCATGTGTGCGCGCAAATTCGAACGATCGGCAAAGGCGCGATTGCAGTGCTGGCAGCTGAATGGTTTTTCGCCTGTGTGTGTGCGTATGTGACCCTGCAGCAGCCAGGGACGTGAGAAGGCTTTGCCGCAGATGGGACACTTGCAGGGCAGCGTGTGTGTGCGTATGTGCATTTTGAGTGCGCCCAGTGAGACGTAGGTCTTGTCGCAATTCTTGCAATTGAAAACCTTTTTCACTTGATTGCCCTCGGCGGCGGGACAATGAAACTGCTGATGCTTACTCAAGCCCGAGTATGTGGAGTATGACTTGCCGCAATCTTTGCAATGGTAGCGCGGCACACCGACAGGCTTTTGTGCCGACTGCGCTGATGCGACGCTGGAGGAATGTATAAGCGCTGCAGCCTTATCACTGGAGAATTCGCCAGCTGCTTCGAGCGCGCCTGGCGCTTCGGCATTATTCACGCTGCGTATGATTTTGTATTCGGTGCTCTCATACGCGTGCGTTTGTTGATGCTTCACCAGGCCGGCGTAGGTGGAGTAGCACTTGTTGCATTGCTGGCACTGGTAGTAGAGATCGTTGTTGGTCTTGATCTTGAGCGTGTTTGCATTTGGTGACTCGGTTGTGCAACGCTCCTCATGCATGCTGGGTGCATGCATTGCATGATTGTTATTAGTGCTAATTTGCTGCATACTTAGCAGCGCACGCGCAACATTGTGCAGATTGATATTCTCACCAAGCACGCGCCGGGCCGGCAAATCATTCTTCACACTCAAATCCTGTGGCTCATAATCGCGCCGCTCTGCTTGATAGTAGCAGTTCTCTGCTTGTGGCACCTGCTGCATTGACTGTGGCGTCGCTGCTATGTGCTGTTGCGGCTGCTGTAGTTGTGGCAGCATCTGCTGCGCTTGCATGCCATAAGCTTGCGGTTGTATGCAGTCTTCATACTCAGCAATGCTTTTCAATAAATTGTTGTTGTAGTTTCGAAGCCCGGCTATCGGCACATAATTATCAACTTCAATTATCTCCTGCTTTATTTCACGCGCCGCAAATTCCGCATTCACTGTTGGTGGCGGGGGTGTTATGCCATCATATTGTTGTTGTCGTTGTGGCTCTGATCTCGACTCCGCTTCCTCCTTACCGCACACTTCATCTTCGGGTGGCAGCGGAAAATCACCATAACCCAAGCGTGCTAGACTACGTGCAATCTCCTCACGCGTGAAGACATCGGGAAATGCACGCGCAATCTCACGCGTTTCCTCCCAGATGCGTCGCGCCAGCTCCTCTTTACTTTGTGTAAAAACACCGACAGATTTTTCTGACGGTGGCGGTGTGGGTAGCGCTGTACGTTGTTCAGCATTGTCTTGACCAAATTGATAAGTCGCAGCGTAGGTGGAGGGCGCAGGCGTTGGTGGTGGTGAAGAAATTGGTTGATGCATTGGCGCTGCGCCAGCGGCGAGACTGAGATCAACGGGTCCTTCGTCTGGAAAGCGAAAAAAGTATTTGGCTAAAATTTCATACAAATTAATCTATATCCAAATTTAGTTAGTTAACGCAATCAATTTAAACTTCATGAACACATTATAATTAGTTTTTAATTAATCTGCTTTTAGTTGCAATGCAGGAGTCTGATTTATTTTAGTCTTATAATAAATCTTTGATATTTTATGTCGATTTAATCAATATAATTACTTGACTAAACCGTAAAAAGATTAATCGGTATAATCTAAATTAAGGCGATTAGTTCTTAGGCAATTAATTTTCAATTTGCGTTGAGCTTTGTAGCTTAACTAATCTTAAAAATCTTAAATACATTTTAAGTTAACTTTCAGCTTTCAGATTTAATTAGTGTTAATAACTCTAAGGCAATAAATTTTTAGTTTTCATTGAGCTTTGCGGCAATTTTAATTTCTCAATAAACATTTTGTGGTTTCTTTTTCGAGGAAACTCTTAAAGTTGTAAAACTAAAAAATGGAAAGCTCTGCGTCAGAGTGCTAGAAAGTTCAACTCTAGAGTAGTATTCTCAATTTGGCTAACCTAGATATAAAAGATACTTACCTTGATCCAAACAATCCATGCGTTCTGACTGTTGTTCCTCCTGTTCCAACATCATTATGGGACGCTTCTTCAGCGGACATTTTCTATAGTTGACTTTATCCATGACAACTGTTGTAAAGGCACAAATCACAGAGCACTTTTGTTCACCAGGAACGCGGCATAAATATTCTTTTTTTTTTGTTTCAATTAAAATTGTCAAACAATTTGCGCTTATATTAAATCACTCAAGCATCTCAAGCATCACTTTTTCATTTTTCACAAACAACTTTCAATTCGCATGTAGTTTTATAGATATTTTTTGAAACTAGTCACTAATTTTTCTGTGAACCATCCGCACGTCACGTCGCACGTTTCACGTCTGCAGTTTCGTTTACGAATGATGCAATGAAACACGATCACTTTAAGTTTTATACCAAGTCAATGTCAGACGCTTGAAAATATTTCAAATAACCAACCCCCTGGTTCATGGCAAGCAATCTGGTGCGGTATGATCGCCAGCACCAGCGAATTCACCCCTCTCAGCATAGCACGTACTACAAGGATATTTGTAAACCACTACATACATACATATGTACAACTATAGCACGGTACCTACTTCCGATCGTCCGTTGATCCCCATGCGACTGCCAACAACAAGGGGAAGTAATCTTTTCAATATCCTAAAATCAACCACTAACTCAGATCTACAACAAAATCATTATGATTGTAGCCTACATTAGTCGATATGTGTTAATGATCATTAATGCGCACGATCGCCAACTGAGTCAGCCAGCAGCCGCACGCTATCAACAACAACCACCATCAACAATAACGTACAGCATCCACCAGCAACGTAGTGCCGAACAGATGTGCGCCTCGGCTTGTGATGTGTATGCGTGAGTGGATGCTGAATTTACAGCACGTGCCACATGCGCCACGCCATGCCACATTGATTATAAATACACATACTAACTATGGTACATTGCGAGGCGCATTCGCACAGTCTGACAGACAGACAGATGCATATGCAGACTACATTAAGCCATAAGTAGGTAGGTTGCTGCGGCTGGGGCAGTGGTGGAGAGCAAGGAAAGCACAACAACACAACGCAAAGTAGGCGCAAAAGTCGATAAGCAAACGTATTAGCGATCGTTGCGCTCTGTAATTTCGTGTAGCGATCGCTCACACAACGACTGCGTCCAATGATTGCCATTTCTGCAACAACACCGCAGCTAGCCGCTAATAGCGGTGCTTTTGTCTTTTTTTGTTTGCTTTTATTTGTCGTGATTTCTTTTTGTCACTATTGTTTTTTAACACAGCACACACGCATCACGATCACCGATCGCTAACGCTCAACATAGTGCTACGCGTTGGCCGGTGATCGCCGTGAGCAGCTGCTTGGAAGTGTCTCCGTTTCAAAATAAGCTCTCAATCGCTAGTACTTTTTGTTGTATTTAGACTTCAACGCTCACACTCACACTCACACTTTATTATGCTCACTTATGGGTGGAGTTGGCGCTCTTCGCTGCTTATATACTTTACCTACACATCTCATTATGCTGTGAGCTTTGCGCTCTACACCTGGCTTGAATCACGCTCGCTCAGCGTTGTTTGTAGCGTACAGGTGAGTGCTTAGCTTGAGTTTCTGACTTGATTACTCTCTGTTGTTTTTATATTACAAAGCGAAGAGCTGACTTTATATATACTAAAGTTTAGGTATTTATATGCTCCATTCAGTAGATGACGCTCTTTATTGGGGCAAATGTATTTGTTGGCGCTCTTTATTGAATTAATTTAAACTGTTTCGTTTTCATTGTACCTCTGCTCCACTGGAAAGTTACAGTTAGCTAAGAGCTCTATTGGATTTATTACATATTGCTTACCGAGCAAAAGAGAGCTTTATATGATTTTGCGCAGACTCAAGTACATAAGATATATAATACTACTGATATACCATATATAGTGAAAAGATTGTAAATGTATATACAAACTATAGCTGCTATAGCTGGACGAGATCTTCTCGTTCGCTTTACAACTGATATGCTTGATGCTAGAATAAATCTTAAATCTAGTTTTAAATATTCTATTCACAAGTATAATCTAAAATAAAAGTATTAGTTCCTTAAAAAGGTCGTCTATAGATAGGTAATTACTATACAAATATAAGTATGTTACAAAAATAAATTATTAGGTTTTACATGCTTAGGACAGTTCGAATGCGATTGAGTGCGGCATACGAAATTACTCGTTCTCTGACTGAACTGTGAAAGTATATTTTGTTATGCTTTGGTAGCTATTGGTTTTCTCATTATTAAAATTAAGATGTTGCAGAACTTTCGAAAAGTTTGAACTGAGTTTTTCAGGCTTTTCAATAATTTTTGAGGTTTGAGTTCACTTATATACATATACTTGTACTAGTGTATAAAAACGCCATCCAAGACTTTATTAGATTAAAATTTCAATTTAAAAAATATATGTATCTTATTCTAGGAAAAATATTTTTACATAATTATTGTACCTAAATATATTATAGTACCCTAGAACAAAGCCATGTGCAATGCCATACCATAGAAACATTTCACAGTTAATGTAGGTTTCGGACTTACTTCCTTATTCCTTACTTTTCAGCCTGTACTTAAATAATGAATTTGGAAGCCTTATTGGCTGATCCTGTTCTAGTTGAATAAGAGTTAAAACAGAAAGGCAAATTCACTTTCTTCCTGCATTTATTGCAAAGAACTTTTTCATCAATACATTTATGAATCCATTGTTACTAATTTCAAAAATGTGTTTCTAAATTACAATAGAGTATCAAACCTAGTAATAACTAATATTTTTTTCTTTTAATAAACGTTATCAGATTTGAAAAACTTTTATTTCTGGCACTAAGCTCTGATTTAAAAAGATTTTGAAGTTTGAGAAAATATTTAAACGATCTATAAAGATCGTATTTCAGTAGACAGATGATAGATTGTTTTCAATAACAATAAAAAAAAACTGAATAAAAATAGCTCCAAATTGAAAATATTATTATTTGTTTATAAAAATGTGCCTTTTTTATATTAAAAAAATCGTATAAATTCAACATACGAGTATATATTATTGAAGGGCTGAGCAAAAATCATAAAAACTAGGCCGGCTAGTTATTTTTATAATGAAATATTTGATGTTTTTTTGAGTGTTGAATTTTTGAAAATTCATAACTCAGAAAGTTTTCACAGTCGAAATAAAAAAAAACCTTTCCAATAGTTTGCCTCAAAAAACACAAAAAACATGTTTTGCATGGAAGAAAAATTTTGAATATAAATTTTGGACGGAATGACCCATATATGTAGGTATAATCGTATACTATATAAACTTTCACATACAAAATCTAAAAAAAATCTATGTATACGTCGTATATAATTCTCCGAAAAAATGATTATTCTTGGTTTAAGGTGTGACAAACTTGCAACACTGTAACCGAATTCAAATGAACATTTTTGTTGAATCACAGAACTTGGCTGTAAGTCCAAAACTGTTCGATAAAGTTGTAAATTCAAAAGAGCTTCCATTTGTAGAATATCATTTACTAATTGGAATCGAATCATCATATCTTTGAGAAAAACTTTAAACTAGTAACTTTCGGCAGATTTATTTTTTCCGTACGATGGACTTGAAACTCATCAGAGAGTGTTACCCTGTATAGTTGTGCATGTAAATAAAAACGTTCTTATCATTAAGCACCCAGAAATGGTTAAAAATACATTTTTTTTTTGAATTTTCCGATTGGACCCAGTATTTTTTAAAAGAGAATTTTTATTGGAATACTACGTCCTGTTTGATTTAAAGATTATACTAGATTTTCAAAATCTATTTATATATGGTATTGCTCGAAGAAACCAGTTAGTTTTTCCTCGCACTACACATTAATAATAATTCTCCATTGAAAGTTAATTCAAGAATGTTACGTAGACATTTGTTTTGCAGAAAAATAATCTTAGGTAAAAAAAAAATTATTTATGCCAGATATGGTATACCATTAAAAATCTAAAGCTAAATTACTTATCAGCTCACTTTATTTCTTTTAATTTTAAAGACAGCGCTTTAAAGATCTATTGAGGAACCTGTAATCGTATTAAAAAGGTACAGATGTGAAAATTTTGAAGTGATTCGTATTATTATATGGGACCAGCTACGGATTTATATAAGTTTTTTAGATTATATTTTATAAAACCGTTTAGTTTAAAGTAAGAGCTTGCTCTTCTAAGCATAAACATGCGAATAATGTAATTTTAATATTATTTTTGTGCCAGAAAGGTTCAGTACATTATCTCTAAAGCGAAAAATGTTTCAAGAAGTTTTCTATAATTTATTCTTTGTCTACATATTACCATCATAAATAAATGCACTTAAATAAAACTCTAGATCGCATAAATCTATTGACAAAAAATTATTATTATTAAATATATGTAGAATCGACACCAATCCTGCAATCAATTACACCGTGTCAAATGAAACCATCGTTAAGTGCAGCGCCTCTCATTGTCCCCCGCAAAAAGGAAGTTGCAGCTGCAAATATGATTTTTGCACCAGACAAGATCACCACTTTCCGCTCTTAAACCAAAAGATGTAAAATACACAGAACACAATGCGAATAATCAACACATCTCTGAATATAAACAAGCAGCAGTTATAATATATAACAAATTCAAGAAATTATCTACAAGTTTAACTATGTCAAGGTGCGCAAACATGCCACAGCAAAAAAAAAAAACCATTAAAAACAAAAACCAGAAAACTAAAAATATTTTCAACACATACTAACACACTGCTGCGTGCTCGAATATCACGAGCATGTTTTGAAATTTCACGAGAGTAAGTAAACAGTCAGCTGCCACCCCAAACGTGAGGCGAGTAGCTCAATACGCATGCGTTGCCGGTTAAATTGAATTTTTCACATACGCATGCATACACACAGTTGCAAACAAATTCATCACACAACGCTATTTTGATTCACCATCCATGAAACCCTACGCATTTTACCTGGCGCGGAGCAAAACTGTATGTGCCACACAGCGGAAGGTATTTGCAAAAGTACCTGGCGCTCAATTTGGGCGGCTGCAGGCACGCCACACTAGTAAACTGCCAAACTGGCACAGGACATGCATGCCACCACCTTTCGCAGCCAGACTGCAGCTTGCAATATTGCAACGCGCTGTGGCAGCAACCGCGGCATTCCGCCGTCATCATCCCCTTTTCGCTAGCCGGATTTTGATTTTGATCGGCAAGCTGTGATTGTTTTGCAACCCTTATAGGCAAATACACACACACACGCACACATTTACTATACATTAACTTTACTTTTTCTTTCACAATTTCTATGCCACATTTCAAAAG